TCGTGCCTTTTAAAACCACGAATTCTAAAATAATGACTTCATATCGCGGTATGGGAAATAAGAATATAAACATGCTAGGTCGTGTCCAATGCGATGTTATTTTTTCTAATAAATTAATTACCCATGAATTTTTAATTTTGCCGGATGAAGAAACCGTAATGCCTTTGCTAATTGGACGAGATCTTATGTCAAAATTTAATATTAGTTTATGTAAACTTAAAATAAAATATAATAAAAATGAAATTTTGAATTTGAAAAATATCAATAATAAACCAAATGACAAAACAGTCAGTGCGCTTATGTCGTTTAATTTATATAGAGTTCCAGGGTGTGAAAATGAAATTCCAACTGATGAAAATAATTGTTTGATAGATTATGTAGAGCCTTTAAATTGCAATAATGTTAATAAAATGGGGTGTACTTTGAAGAAGGTTGACCCAGTTGCTTTTGAATTAGAAAGACCTATGGGTAGTGAAGTGAGTGAATTAGAGATGATTGTTCAGAAAGATATATGTGAATCTTTAGTAGATACAGTTTGTTCGATTGAGACCGAAGTTAATTTAAATATATCGAATGATAGAACGCCGAGTGAGGCTTCTACATTGAAGTCGTTAATAGATACAAACTACTTTGGAAATTTTAATACTTCTCCAAGGAAAACCGACTTTTGTATGCAAATTAGATTGACAAATGATGTTCCTATTTATAGTGGACCTCGACGTTTGTCTTATCGGGAACGCGGTAAGGTCAAATCTAAACTTGAGGAACTATTGAAGATGGGTATAATTCGCCCGAGTGAGTCCCCTTATGCGTCACCCATAGTGTTAGTTAGAAGAAAAAACGGAGATGTGAGGATGTGTGTGGATTACCGATCTCTTAATAGGATTACCGTGAAGGATAACTATCCTTTACCGATGATTGAAGACTGTCTTGATTATTTAGGAAATAAACAATTTTTTTCTACTTTGGACTTGAGGAATAGCTTTCACCAAGTCCCAATGCATGAGGATTCAATTCAATATACAGCTTTTGTAACACCCTTGGGACAGTTCGAATTTTGTTATATGCCATTTGGACTTAAAAATGCGGGTGCAGTGTTTCAACGATTTATTAATATGGTGTTAAGGGATATGATTGATAAGATTGATAGATGATATAAGATTGATATAAGATTGATATAAGTATTGCAACAAAAACATACGAGGAACACTTAGAAGTTTTGGCACAGGTATTGCGGTCATTGAGCGCTACGGCTTTAAGATTGAATTTTGAAAAATGCAAATTTGCATTTAATGAACTTGATTACTTGGGTTATAGGGTCAACGATGAGGGTATTCGCCCGAATAACACGCACATAGAGACAATTAAGAATTATCCGATCCCAAAGGATCACGATGAGGTTGAAAGATGTATAGGTTTATTCTCATTTTTCCGCAGATTCGTCCCAAATTTTTCGAGGATAGCCAGATCGTTAACAGAGCTGAAGAAAGAGACTTTTAAAGACAAATTAAGTAATCCGCCAGTATTAGCCGTGTACAATCCTAACTACGTGACAGAACTACATACTGATGCGAGTGCTAAGGGTTGCGGTTCAGTATTCATGCAAAGACAGACGGATGGAAAATTTCATCCAATAGCGTATTACTCGAAGTGTACTTCAAAGGCAGAGGCAAAATATCACAGTTTTGATGACGCATGTAGATGCCTTAAGTCGTATACCGATTATTGCAGCAGTAAATGAATATGATGTAGATGTAAATATTCAGATTGCTCAGAATAGGGACATTAATATTCAGAAGATTCGGGAACGTTTGGAAAAGGAAAATATAGAAGTTTACGAATTAGAGAACGTTGTACTGAGCAGGGACGCAGACAGTTACACGTGCCCGCTGAGATGGAGGAGAATGTCATACGTCTTAAACACGAAAAATACGGTCATTCAGGAATTGAAAAGTGTTTTAATAATTTGAGGAAATATTATTGGTTCCCGAAGATGAAGGAGAAAATTAATCAGTTTTCGAGAAATTGTCTGAAGTGTATATACTATTCGGCGCTTTTACAAAATTATACTCTGTAAACTCTCCAGGTGCAAAAGAAGTCTTATGTGCTTTGAAAAAGTATTTTGAAAGTTACAGCCGACCGAGGAGAATAATAAGTGACCGAGGAACTTGTTTTACGTCTAATGAATTTACTAAATTTCTACATGATCGTAATATAGTTCACGTTAAAGTGTCGGTGGCATCCCCACAATCTAATGGGCAAGTTGAAAGGATAAATAGGGATTTAAGAGCAATGATAGCTAAATTAACAGAACCGATTGAACATAGTTACTGGGTTGAAAAATTAACGCATGTAGAATTTGCCATTAACAACACCGTTCACCGTTCTATTGGACAATCCCCAAGTAAAATGCTATTTGGTATTGGACAACGGGGGGAGATAATTGACGAATTAACGGAACATTTGCAGGATACTTATGAGGGGATTGATAGAGATTTAGAATTGATTAGAAAACAAGCTTCGGATACTATACAGAAGTCTCAATCGTACAACCTGAATTATTTTAATAAAAGTCATAAGCCGGCCAAAATCTTCAATGTGGGAGATTTGGTAATATTAAAAAATGTCGATACAACAGCCGGCGTAAACAAGAAGCTCATACCAAAATATAGAGGGCCATATATTATTCAAAAGCAATTGGGTAATAACCGATATGAAATAACTCATGTTGAGAATTGTAACACAAGTTCCATATTTTGGCATTGTAGATTCAAGTCGTTTGAAAAATTGGTTGGAATTTAAAATGAATGATCAAAATAGTTTAATGAACTCTGAAGGCAACACTGAAGAATACGAAAACTATGAATATATGGAAGATGAGGCTAGTAGTAGTGAATATGAAGATTATGAATTTTTAGATGAGGAAATGTTATAGGCTAATATCAATCGAGGTCGATTGAAAAGTCAGGTCGGCCGAGATTGTAGTAATATAAGATATGGCAACACTAATTGTAGTAATGTAAGATATGGTAACATTATTTATAATTGCATATGAACTGCAACTAACGTAAGGTTTGCAGAATTGCAACCAACTTCACTTCTTATTGTAATTTCCGCAAGGATAGATCGAAAAGCCGAATAAAAACGTGTAGGGTAGAAGGGGGATCATACGCCATAGGGTCACATCTGCCAATAGCGAATAACTTGAAAACTGAGTAATCGATTTTATCGCATTATCAAATTTTGTTTTCGTTTATCGATTATCTATCATCCCTGAAAATTTGAAACATTAACTTTACATATGATGGGAGGCAGACATGATTAATTGTTTTTCAAAGGGCTATGAAAATATTTCACTGTGTGAACTTTTTATGCTAACTTTTTTAGTTTTTGTGATAGAAAAAATATATTGGTCAGTAATAGAACGTCAATAATAGTGAACAATAAGACATAATAATATTTTCGATAATATAATTTGAAGCCCGAATTTAAACTATATATATGTAATGGTTGTGATGTAGAACAAAATTTGGTTAAAATATAGAAAAAATCAGTAATAATTTGTTTTAATTTTTTTGTTAAGTTTTGTGAAATAAACAATAAATATCTGGTTTATTATACTTTGTTTAATGAATTAAAGTATAAAACAGCAAAATAAGTTTTTATTTTTGTAATTTTATCTTTTATTTTACTAATGACAAATCTGCCCCATCCCCTTGGCGCATTTACCCCATGGATGGGGCGGTATCGACGTTTTTGGTCAGTGTGGAAAAGTTAAAAAAATATGTACATGAGGATGACTTAGGAAAAATTGAAAGGAATAAAACTAAAGCCAACATATCTAAGTATCCGAACCAATAAAAAAATTAAGAATATGTATTGTGATTTAATTTGAGGCCGCCTCAAAAAAAAAAAAGTGGCATATGGTCCCCCTTCTACCCTAAAATAAGAAAATAATTTAAACTTAAATATAAAATAAAGAAAAGTTCTACTATAATATAAATAAATTAAATTACTATTTACTTAAAAAATAAGTTTTTATTGTTCGGAATTGATTATTTTATTGTTTTTGTTGATTGTGCTCACTTATAACTTAGGTTTAATTCGTCAATAACACTCAGTTAAACTAAGATAATAAGTAACGTTACTAATTATTCAAAAGCACAAAACAGAAATTAAACTAGGTTTAAACAAAGAATGTAGATTATCTTCATCTAAAAAACCCGCCTTTAATTTTATCAAAATTTTGATGTGTGGCCATACAGCTTAATGGTTGTGACCAGGGTGCACTCATAAGGTGAAGTCATTTCAACAGCTGATCATTATTTATTTTTTTTTATTTGAGGTAGACACAACTGTCAAAGTACACCATTTAGAGTTGCCACAAACCAAAAAATATGTGCATCCATCTAGGGATTAATTATATTTTTAGGACACTAAAAATATAAATACTAAAATATTTACCGAAACACCGTAAATAAAATCATTAAAACTAGATTTTATTATAGATAGCTTAGTTTATTTTTTAACAATTTTCAATGGTAGTGGTTTGGTAACATTTCTATAAAGATCATTATATATGTATGTATTTCTTATACGCCAATAGTGGAGAACTACATGGTTCTCCACACATGGTCTTCCAATATTGATTGATAAAAATAATATGTAATTTGTATTTTTACTACTAGTTCAAATTTTGTAATCTAAAATAATTATACTTAATAAGTTGTGGATTTTTTTCAATTCATATATAATTTTTAATAAATTGTATATTGTAGAATACATATTTATTTTACGTCAAGAAATTTTTCTTATTGAAATGTAACTTTAAAAAAATCACGGTGGCAACATGTACATTTTTTGACATACGTATCTACTTCTGCTGTTTTTGTAGAATTGACTTCACCTAATGAGAGCACACTGGTTGTGACTACATACATGCGAAAAGTACTGTCTACATTTGTGCTGCCTTATTTATTAAAACAATTCAAAATGTGGCAAGGCCATTTATTTACTAAGGGTGGATAATTTTAGACGAGTCGTTGCAATGGAAACAAAATAATAGGGGTTGCAACTTCACAAAGGTTCATTTGCCATTTAAATAGTATTTTGATAACAAAAAACTAACAGTATTGTGATAATGGTATTTAAGCGAAAAATCAGCCAGCTTCTTTTACAAATTTTATATATTCGAGTATTTGTAAAAACTTTTTCAGAAGCAACAAAAAACACAAATTTATTAAATGTAACTGGGTTAGTAATTATTAACAAATAGTATGTATACCGATATATAAAATAACAAATATATACATTTTCACAGATCAAACATGGATGTTTTATACAAAAATTATATCGATGAGGTAAATATAAAAGTCATTTCTTACGCTATAGGAGATGTTAAAGATTTTTGTCCACATTAAATAATTTATAATTTAATTTGCAGATTCCGACAGGCATTTGTCAACTTTATAATGGAACAACATGCATTAACTATTTAGCACAGCAATATATTTTTATACCGCCCAATTTATCTTTAAACGAGTTAGAAGAACGTTTAAAAGCGGCATATGGTGTTATAAAAGAATCAAAGTAATTATTATTATTATTTTTATTATTACTTATAACATTACCTAATATATGTATCTAATTCCTATTCTTTATATTTTTTTAAGAGATATGAACCCGAATTGTCGTATATACGCACTTCCAAGCTTATGTTACAGCACACTGCCAATATGTCGAACTCCTGAGCGTACAAATTTATTGTATTTTGCCAACAGAGCTACACACAAGGAAAGAAAATTAAAAAAGAATATAACAACAAATGTAATGGGGACTGAAAATCGTATTACAAACTACAGCAGACTGAAGAGGTTTTTAGAAAAAAATACAAAAGAACATAAATTAGTGCTTAAACGTAAATCTTCCGTTAAATATGACGATGTGTTTTCCGGTGAAATATCTAGTCAGTATCCGCCAACAAGGGAATCTGAAAACTTAAGACGAATTTGTCGTGATGAATGTGAATTACTCGAAAACGAACTTTGCCAAAAAGAATATGCCATTGCAAAGAGGCACCCTGTGATTGGACAAAAATTACCCCTTGAAGAATGTTCGCAGCTGCCTCGTCATAGTGATTGTTCAACAATGGGTATAGCTATAGATGTTGAACCAACCGAAACATGTTATTGGGAAGACGGTTCTGGCTACAGAGGTACGATTGCTGTGTCAATTTCGGGAAAAAAATGTTTACGCTGGTCTTGGCTAATGAAAGAAATATCCGATTTTCCTGAATTAGCGGGACAAAACTACTGCAGGTAATGGTAATAATTATTAACAAAGCAGTTAATTTTACATTTATGTATTTTTATATTAAACATTATAGAAATCCTGGAAGTATGGAAGATAGACCGTGGTGTTTCGTAGGTGATAAATCATTTGAAAAAATCATAGAACCCTGTGACATACCAAAATGTTCAGACAGCATTTGGGTGTATATATACATGACAATGGGAGCGCTTTTAAGTATATTTTTAATATATGTCATTATACATGTTTTAAGACGAAGAGGAAATCATGGAATGACTAATATACAAAACGTAAATTTTAAATAAAAATATGAAAACATACATGTACAAATATAAAATTTTACAGATAAATACGCCGAACGCAGATAAAAATATATATGGAAACTCTCAAGTTAATTCATCTCTCGAAATGTCACGTATCAATATAAATGGAACAAATGATCTATCTCCATCATTTGCTCAAAATATCGAACGAAGTTCACTGCTAAAAATACCTCATTATACGTTACAAGATGTAGAATTTGTTGAAGAACTTGGAGAAGGAGCATTTGGTACGTAAATATTAGATAATTTTATTTAGTGTACATATAATTAAAAAAAATCCTTTTTTTTCAAGGAAAAGTATACAAGGGCCAACTGACACTTACCGGAGAAGAAAAAATATTTGTGGCAGTTAAAGCTTTAAAAGAAAATGCTTCATTCAAAACACAGCAAGATTTTAAACGAGAAATAGAATTAATTTCCGATCTTAAACACGATAATATTGTCTGCATATTAGGCGTGGTTTTAAACAAGGAACCGTTCTGCATGCTCTTTGAATATATGTCAAATGGCGATTTGCATGAATTTCTTATCGCAAATTCACCAAATGAAAATAAGTCTCTGACTCAGTTAGAATTTCTTCAGATATCACTTCAAATAAGCGAGGGCATGGAATATTTATCCGGACATCATTATGTTCATCGAGATCTAGCCGCACGAAATTGTTTAGTAGGTGAACAATTAATGGTGAAAATATCAGATTTTGGTTTATCTAGAGATATTTACAGTTCTGATTATTACCGGTAACAATAGAATTAGTTTTTACATGTTAGCTAGAGAAATAACTGAAATTCCTTACTTAAAGAGTCCAATCAAAATCATTACTGCCCGTACGATGGATGCCATCTGAATCAATTTTATATGGAAAATTTACAACTGAAAGTGATGTGTGGTCATTCGGAGTTGTTTTATGGGAAATTTATAGTTATGGAATGCAAGTAAGTTACATTTCAAAATATTATACTTGTACATTGTCCTATAAAACTAATATCGATATTTTTTAAAGCCATATTTTGGCCACAGTAATCAAGAAGTCATTAACTTAGTAAGATCAAGGCAGCTTTTACCTTGTCCAGAGTCATGTCCAACAGCAGTGTACTCATTGATGATAGAATGTTGGCATGAACAGTCAGTCAGAAGACCATCATTTTCAGAAATTTCCCATCGTTTAAAAACATGGTATAATGGACAACAAAAACTATCACATAATGTATCTAGTCAGTTTTTCCAACAATCACCCCCTATACAATTCTGAAATATAAATAAATATTACTGATAAAAATAATCTCTAGTTTTTATTTATTAACAATGTTATGTTTCTACTCGTTACTAACTTCATTTATAAGCCATTCTACTTTATATTTAACAAATAAATTGTCACATCATATTTAAACCAAATGATTTAATTGTTAATCTCCGTGTACTAAAAAAGATTACAATAACAATATTACTACACAGAATTTTTTTTAAATTTTCAATACCTTCAATTACGATTATATTTGTTCAATTATTCATTTACTTGAAATGTATTACTTAATTTTTTCTGGCATTAAAAGAACAATGCACAGTGTTTAGAAATTTTTATTTTTGAAAATAATTCGGTATCTCTGAAACTATTGGATGTATCGCAATGAACACATGTTTGGAGCGGAGGTGTTTTCGAGTTGATTGACAGTTGTAGGTGGTCGAGGACGAAATGGGGTCCCTCAAAGTTGATAACCTCGGGAATTAGTTTTTTTTAAGGAAATATTCTAAGCTTTCTTTTGAGTAAAAAAATACAACAAAAACGACCATTTTGAAAAAATAGGGGGAAAATTAAATGCCAAATATTGAAAAAAATTATTCTTGAGTTAAAAAATATTTTTTTGATAGATATCCCTCTCGCATCCCATTATGCTATAAAGTCCTTAAAGGAAATTGTATAAGCTTTATTTTAAGCAAAAAAAGGGCCGGCCCATTTTGAAAAAAATAAAAAAAATGTTTTCATTAAATTTTTTTTGGAAACAATGAAATAATAGCTACCTGAACACATTTGGTTAATTTTTGCTCGGACCAATATGTGAAAAGTTACACTCATTTGAATAAAACCCTTTATGATCAAAATGTCCAACTTTGACCCCCTCTGACTCCTACAGTTCTTGACCGATAGAGCTGAAAAATATGTTTGCCTACTATCCAATAGTACTAACCATATAGTAGCATATAGGCGAAAGGGACTCTCAAAGACCTAAGTCCCCTGTCAAAAAACTAACTGGTGAGAATGTATTAGTAGAAGCACAAAAATAAACACAGTTGTTCAAAAGGTACTAAATAATAAATGTATTTCTTATACGTTATTTTTTGTATGTTATTACTGAGACTTTATATAGTAGTGAATGAAAATAATAGTTAATTAATTTTTTTTAGAAGATATTTCATCTTATCAAATATTATAAACACGTCTTTTTGTTATTTTTTTCTGCACTAATGGAAAAAGAAAAAAAATGTGAAATACTTTTTTCATTTTCAATACGAAAATTTACAACTTTTCTTTTTTCAGTTTTAGTTAAAATGAAATCTCAAAGAATAAAAAATATTTCTTTGTTCGTTTGTAAAATATAAATTATTTTCGGGGTTTTAAATACAATAAAAGTGTCGCAAGGTTAGGTTAGGTTGATAGGAGGATGTATACTACATCAAATCCGAAGAAATACACCTAGGCCGCTATCGGGCCTGTTGTGCGCTTCAATTCATGAAAAAAAAATTGTTCACTGAATGTATTATTTTTCCATGTTCAGAAACTCAGTTTCCTGGACGTAATTCCTAAGAATCTTCCAATCGGTGTTGGTTAAGAATGTTATTTCCGGAATAACATCACTTCCAAGATACTTGGATCTAACTTCGACGAATGCCTGACAATGGCAAAGAAAGTGCTCCAGAGTTTCACTGTCCTCTCCACATGCTCTACATTCGTCTGAATCCGCACGTCCAATTTGGTATAGATGTGCTCGTAATCCTGTGTGTCCACTCAGAATACGTACCATCATACTAACCTCAGACTTGCTCATTTTGAGGAGATTTCTCGTCTTGCTCTCATCAGGGTCACCCCATAGAATCTTTGTGGTTCTACCCACCGTTTCATTATTCCAAGAGGCCTTATGGGATTCTCTCGTCCATATTTTTAATTCAGCTTTTGTTGCGTCGAGTGGTTTTGCGTTTGTCAGGTTAACTACAGCGAGCTCCCTTCCCTTTAAAGCTATTACATTCGCCCTTTCGTTGCCAACTACTCCTGAGTGGGCTGGTACCCATATGTTGTGAACCTTACCTCTGGGAGAGTATTCAGTTAAAGCTTTCTTACAATCCAATACGGTCTTAGATTTAATTCGATCACCTGATATCGCCCTAATTGCCTTCTGGCTGTCGGTAAATATATTAAGCCCTGTGGGCGCCATATTTATTCTAATCCAATTTACACATTCCGTTATTGCTTGTACTTCTGCCTGGAAGCTTGTGTTATGATTTGGTAAACGGTGGTATATTTCTGTTTCTGGGTCTTCAATATAGAACCCCAGGCCCACTTTGTCCCCTATTTTAGAGCCATCCGTATAGCAACGGATTCCTACTGGTATTTGCTCTAATGTTCCGCTTGGCCAATACATTCTATCTGGGATTAGCGTTTCAAAGTTTCCGACATATTCTGTGTCAGATATGCGATCAGGCACGTCCGATGAATGTGTATAACCTTCCAATGTGTCCAGTATACATTGATGACGTGTCCTATAACCGTTTTTGGCCAGTTCGCCTAAAGTAGTACACATGGCACCACTTATACCCAAGCAGCATGTACGCTGAACTCCCTGTAGTAGTTTGATATAACACTTTTTGTCCAAAGCAGTCCACCAGATTATTGAAGCATAAGCTAGAATTGGTCTAATTACACTTTTATAAAGCCAATTTGTCATAGTAGGACTAAGACCCCATTTCATGCCAATGGTTCTCCTACATATCGCCCAGCACCGATGTGCCTTGTTGATCCTATCCTCTATGTGGTGTCTCCATTTTAATTTCCGGTCAAGTATTACACCTAAGTACTTAACTTTGTCTGTCGCCGGTATCTTCTTGCCCAGATAGCAAGGTTCAGTATATGTAGAAATTTTTGTCTTTCTTGTGAAAAGACAGATTTCCGTCTTCGCCGGGTTAACATTTAGGCCTCTCGGTTGAACCCAGCTCAAGGCCGTATTCAGAGCCTCCTCAGCTCTTCTACACAAGTAATTTGGATCCTTTCCCTTTAAAAGTATTACGACATCATCTGCATAGCAGATAGGTCTAAGTCTTTTCTCGGTTAGGGTCCTTAGGAGGCTATTAATCGTGGTAACCCAGAGTAAAGGTGACAAAATGCCACCCTGTGGTATACCGCGAAATACCTTTTTCCTGATAGTTATATCGTACATCTCGCAGCTTATCCATCTGTTCAGTGTGCACGTTATTGAAAGCGCCTTCGAAGTCAATGCATACCGCCAGTGTATACAGTTTGCTATCAAAAGATTCACCTATGTAGTGGACAACTTCGTTTAAAGCGGTTTCAACCGATCGTCCCTTTACATAAGCATGCTGCTCAAATTCTATTTCTTTGTCTGGTATACTGCTTTTAATCATACTATCGACTATCCGTTCCAAGGTTTTAAGTAGGAAGAACGTAAGACTTATCGGTCGATAGGACTTAGGTGTCGCATAGCTAGGTTTCCCTGGTTTGGGTATAAATATTACCCTTGCATCTTGCCATTTAACTGGGGTATATGCCAATTTTAAGCATGCAGTGAATATCTGTGACAGATGTACGGAAACCAGTCCCGCCTCCATCTGCAAAAGTGCCGGGAAAATTCAATTCGGCCCTGCAGCTTTATAGGGAGCAAAGCTCTTGATTGCCCCTTTAACCATGTCAGTTGTAATAACTATTTCCGTGTTACCCTCCCCTTCCTCCAATATCGGTTCATCTATGTTATTCGATATACCGGGTGGGAAATGAGAGTCCATTAAGAGTTTCATTGTCTCCTCCATATCCTCAAGCCTCCTGCCCGTGTCATCGATCATAGATTCCGGTTGGACATGAGTTTTGGATAGGAATTTTTTTATCTTCGATACGTCATTTACGCTATCTACCTGTTCACAGAAAAGTTTCCAGGAGTCTCGTTTGGCTTTTCGAACGATTTTCTTATATTCACCAAGTTTATTACGATACTCATCCCAGTATACTGCGGCCTTTTTACGCCGTGTCCGGTTAAATAGTGCGAAGAGTCTTCCCAAGGTTCCGGATCTCCCCAGTTACCCGGATCGCCCCAGTTACCGCAGAGGGCAGCTGTCCTCAAACGATTCAACCAGGGCACTTGTGAACGTTTCCACTTTGGCATCTATATCCTCTTTATTTCGACATTGAAAAGTGTCCTGAACTAAACGGTTCTTTAGTAAGGTCCCAAACATTGTCCAATTAGTTTTAGACTTATTCCGAAACTTTATCGGCTTTGGTGGCGCCCCACAGTGGTATAGGAAAAAAAAAAGAGGGAAATAATTCGGTAACTTCTAAACGGTTAATCCGATTTTAATGAAATTTGGTATGCACAAAGAGGAGGTGTTGTCGAGTTTAGGTTTTGAATTTGGACCTTATAGGCCAACCAGGGGCCCGGCGGGGGGTCCTCAAATTAGGACACCTCGGCTATGTTAAATTTTTAAAACGATCCTATTTCTTCATTTGAGTTCCGATTTAAAAAAAAATTTCGTATATAGAATCTCCTCATCGAGCACTATAAAAAATGTCGTCGTAGCAGTAAATTATCTCTTATAGTTTAGGAGATATTCGCATTTGAATATTAAAATTTTAAAATTTTTACCGTCCTTACTTTAGTTTTTTTGATAATAGCAGGTCCAAATATTTCCGATTTTCGCCATTTTTTTTTATTTGCTTAACAACAAGTTTATATACCAAGCAGTGAAAGAATTATGTAAAAATCATGACTGAGTCCAAAGTTATAGGCATTTAAATTTAAAAAATTAAAAAAAGGCGATTTTTTGTCATTTTTTTGGGAAAAAAGTATCTTTTTCTTTTTAAGTTATCTAAAAAGTTTCTAAGAAGATGTATATAGAATTTATACTTTTTGGAAAGCTGACTTTACATAAAATACGATAAATGAAACAAAATCTAAAAATTTTTGATACCGAGGGGACCAGGTCCATCCAAAAAAACCCTATTTTTTATGGAAAATTAAATTTTGAGCAAAAATT